TTTGAAGATCTATTTTGACCATTCAAAATTATCCATTTAAAATGTTGGTGGTACTTTTTCAGTAAGCGTACATGTCTACGCTACAACCTAGGAGTGGGATTCCCATCCCCTGTACACATGGGCAGCGGCAGCACAGGCTAGCCGCTCCAAGTATGTACCCACAGGGTTACAGTGGATTTGTACTCTGGGCAGCTACAGTGTTGCCACTGCCCATGCTACAGTAGCTACACTACTATTTTTAGCATGCTAGCTCAGATGTGAGCTAGCAAGAGTGTGTACGCAAGCTGGGAATCCACTTCTAGTTCGTACTGTAGACGTAGCCTTAAAGTAGAATGAAATTGAGGTACGTTGGTCAATTCTTCGTTTCAAAATACATTCACTTAAATTTTACATACTATCCTTGAAGTTAAAGTTGGCAGCATTTTGTTTGTTCATTGATACTATAATATTTGCTTTTAGGTCAGCATGATGGTCCTCTGCCCCGGCAGCATGCTGGGTTACTACCAGAGTCTCTTATTTGGGCATATATTGTGCAGCTCAGCTCTGCATTGAGGACCATTCATACAGCAGGATTAGCATGTCGAGTTATGGATCCAACAAAGATTCTAGTAACGGGCAAAACAAGGTAATGGAAAACAGCCTTTTCAAATTAGATTGTTGACTATTAAGATCTGTGTGCAATGATAGCTTTTAATTACATACCTCTGCCAGATATGGGGAAACAATTTAATAATTTGATTTAAATGTTTTATGTTGGCCCAAGATTAATGAAGTGGTAAAGGTTTGATGCTAGAAATCAAGTTCTACTAAATTAAGTTTAGAAGGATTTACATCTTGCCTTCTGAAAACATCCAGTAAGCAGCATGCATGTTTGTGGATCTATCCACTTAAGTTCTTACCTAGAAAGCTTTTAGCAGCAGCCGCATGTTATTTTAATAAAAAATTCTTAGTAAGCTAATTGGCAGCAGCAGAGCTTAGATGACTTTTTTTAAATCTTACCCTGTATTTTATATGATAAATGTCAGAAAAAAACTAATCATCAAAGATAAAATCTTACCAAATCTCTTCCCTATTTCCTGTTTGTTTCAAAGGTTACGAGTGAATTGTGTTGGAGTCTTTGATGTTTTAACATTTGATAACAGTCAGAATAATCCACTGGCACTAATGGCTCAGTTTCAGGTAGGATGATAATGCCAGGCTTGCTTTATAATAGGTTGATTACTGTTAGATAATATGTGCCAAGAACACCTCTTAATTCCATTTGAAACCTTAATTTTTATTAAGGCATAGACACTTTACATTTGTAGGCTTCAGTGTATATATATTTTTAACAATCTTTGGTATTGGCATATGTTTTTCTCCCTAAACTGTGTAAATTTATTTGTGATTTGTATATATGAGCTGTCATTTTGTTACTGTTGAAACTTCAGAAATAAGCTAGCACTTGTATATTGACAATAAGCAAAGCATAGGTCAGCTTACTTTGCAAAACCACAAAAATCAGAATTGGTTGGAATTGAGATTCCTTTTTAAAAGAAGGAAAAATCTTTTAAATTTAGTATGAAAACTTGAGTGAATACTGGAAAACAAATTTAGGATGTGATGTGCACACAAAGCTACTGCAGAATTGGGCGCATGTGTCATGTAGGGTTTTAATAGAAAATGAGGTCAATGAACAATTAATGGGTCCGTTGTACTTTTGTTTCTGCTTTCCATTTTCATGCTGTTATAGCCGGAATAGTTCAAAAGTAAGTGTGTGTACACTAAGGGCAAGATAGCTTAAAAAAAAAAGATTTTTAAAAATTTGTACTTGCACTCCGTCTCCTCTCCTCCCCCCATCTTTAAATGTGCTCACTACATCAGGATTTAAACAAGTATGACTTCTCCCACAAACCCATTTCCAACATTTATACACTCCACATACTTCCTGGATTAGGAAGACTCCCTTTAGAGTCAATGAGTGCTACACCATAATTATTTGGAGGACTTCTTTCCCTAACTCCCCCTTGGGGCTGATTACTCTGTCTTCAGAGCATTTTCATCTCCTGCCAGCATTGGGAGTGTAAGACCACAGTAGGGGAGTGTAAGACCACAGTAGGGAATTAGTCTTAGCTTATTTTCATTAAACAAGCTTAGTCAGTGAGAGAATTGCTTATTTATACATACATAGTAATAAATGGGAAGTTTGAATAAGCTGGTTTCTGCCTTGCTAAAACTCAAAACTACTTCTGAGAAATGTAGCAGCTTTTTGTTAGTGATAGAGTAAACAGCTCTCAGTGTACATTAACTTGTTTCTTATTTCTTCTTAGCTGGATATCTCCTGTTGTGTGTTCTTTGTAATCACTTAGTAGAAAAGAAATGGCTAATAAAATCCATTATCTATTCAGCCCTTTTTATTGCGACTCTCTATAGCTTTTCTTCCAAAAGCCTTGTCTGGTGGACCTACCACACATAAGCACTGCTTTCAACTTACGACTAATTGCTCAGTAGCCTGAGGATGTTAGTAGGCAAGAGTTGCCTGACTGGCATTTCTTTTAGACCTTTGTTAACATCAAGCTGCTCCTACTGTATTGCTGATCCAGAGAAGTACTGTTAGGTGTTTAGTGCAGGAGATGATGTAAATAGAGGCAGTCTATTACAGCTTGTCTCTTTGCACCCCTTCTGCCCCACTTTGCATCTTCAGAGCACCAAGACTGAGTTTCCATCTTGAACTTTACTAAAAGATGCATTTTATTTTCACTCTTCTGAGCAGGTGAGGTGGTAAAGTCTCCATTTGCCTGCCCCCCAACAACAATTTGGGGATACAACACAAATGAGAGAAGTGTTGTTGGCAATTTTGTTTAGGATTCCCAGTCACCCCCTACCTCTCATTCCCTCCAACAAAGAAAATTATAGAATGGCCACTTCGTTTCCTTCTCCCTCTCCCCCCTGAACTCCACTGGGATACTTGTGTCTCTTAAAAATGTAAAAAGTTACCTGTTGGCTTACTGCCCAGCCAATATGCATTTTCTTATTGCTCACTTCAGTGGCTGAAGGTTGTTTTTTTTTTGTAACTTTCTGGCTACATCCTGTTGTGCACACAGATAAGAAAGAGAGAAAGGAGGATAGAGACGGAAACAGAGGTCTGAGAAAGGAATTAATTATTTTTATGGTCTATTTTTCTTAGTCCTTTTTAGTCTTTCAGACACATGAATAGAGTGTGGTACACATTATTAAGTTACAAGTTAAAAATGTAGGCGATTGATAAGGGAAACTAAAGGAATCAAATATTTTGATTATGAATAGGAATAAAGAAGACAATAAGGATTTTTTTTTAATATATTAGGAACAAAAAAACTTAAGTCCGGTCCATTGCTAGATTTGAATAGGGATATAGAAAGCGTAGAAATGTTCAATAGACATTTCTATTCTGGAATTGGAGCAAAGCAGGAGGATGTATTCATCCCATATGGTGATGTAACCATCCCATATGATGTAGATGGAATCAAAAGTTTATCATCTGTAACCAAGGAGGATGCGATGCAGCCATCTGCTCAAATAAAATATATTCAAATCAACAGGCCCAAGTCAACTAGTTCTTTTAAGACTCATATAAGTTAAGAATTATCTGAACCACTAATGTTAACTTTTTAACAAGTCTTAGAAAAGTAGGAAAACTCCAAAGAATTGGAGAACTGCCAGTGTAGTTCTAATACTTAAAAAGGATGAAAGGGGTGACCCAGGGAATATAGACTAGTTAGCTGGGCAAAATAATGGAAAGGTTTAATTTGGGATTCTATTTTTAGCCTCTAATTCTTTGTTGAAGACCAATGCCCGTCAACTTGTTTTCATGAAAGGTTGGTCTTGTCAAACAAATCCATCTATCTATCTATCTTTCTATCTTTCTCATTTAATTTATTTATTTTATAAAATTATGAGCCTGGTAGATAAAAGCAGTTCTTTTGATATAATATACTTGGATTTCTCCAGGGAAAATCCCTGGTCTTTAGGCACAGCCCATCCTGCGAGGCAGTTATGTCTCTGAATGATGGACACACGAGGTACCTGTTCTGTCTTGGTGAGTGGCATGTTCCAGAGCACCGTGAAATTTGTAGGTCCTTCTCAAAGCAGACCCAGCACTCGAGAGGTGCATCTGAAGTTGTTGTTCAGTGAGACCTGTCTCCAAACCATGATCTCATGGGTCTAGCCCTTGGAAGTCCAGAGGGTTTCTAAGTTCTCCCTGCTCTCCACATTCAGACTGCCTGAAGACCATCCCAAACTGCTACCCTCCTCATCTGGGAAGTATAAAGATAGGTTGGGCTCTGACCACAGCTTTTCTAAGGAAAAGGGGGGGGAAATCGCTTTCCCCAGATCTAACTCTGAGGCCTTGTAAAATCATCAGGCTGTCAAAGGTGCCTCAAAAATTAGAAAAAGCTAAGAACTGGAGCTGGTACCAGCAGAATGGAACCACACACATTAGAAGCACTGACAGGTGCCTTTGCAATCATTTTAGCCTTCTCAGAACCAAGCAAATCAGAGAGGCCACTGGCAACCTCTGCACCAGGTAGAAGCCCTATCCCAGTACCAGCCGTTCTAGAGCTTCCTGCATTGGATCCATCATTGTCACCTCTGTGCTGACTGGCAGGCATATCACTAGGACCAGTGCGCTCATGCCTTTTGAAACCACACTCACCTCTGATGCCTACCAGATTCCTGACTCAGCAGCCGTGTTCCTCCTACCCTGGAGCCATGTGTCCTTTACACCTATGGGTCGAGCACTCCCCGTTCTGGAACATTCTTCCCTTTTGTCCTCTGACTCGTAGGGAGGTCACTCGGCCAGGTATCAAGACTCTGTGGTATTAGCTTCACTCAAGAGCTAAAGACCACCATATCCATGACCATTGCCTGAACCCAGTACCGATCCAGCCCGGTACCATTCAAACAGGGTATGTAGGGTATGTGTAGACCTTGGGGTCCTCAGTATTATCTGATACCAACTTCCCCACTTCACTCAGGGCACAGTCAGTCACCTTTATGCCACCATGTGGATTCGCCCCCACCATGTTCCTCGCAATGGACTCGGAAGCAGACTGTTCATCTAAGGTTACCGCTGAGGAACAGACAGCACCAGCATGACCCCGTGTTTGCCAGACATCTTGGCATCAGACCTGTCGGCTTCTTCCCCTGAAGATCATAAACTGTTTCAGGACCTCATGAGACTGGTGGGAATATCCTTAAATATCCCCACTGAGAAGGCGGTAGGACATACCACAAAAGCTTCTCTGTATTTTATGCTCATCAGTACTGGGACATATAGCAATCTCTATCAATAAGGGGCTATTGGAACCTGCAAAAGCCCTTTGGCAGACATGCCTCATTGGCACCAACATCCAAATGAGTAGATGATGGTACCAGCTCCTGGTTACCAGGTATGAACAATTTTATTCCTACCCGGTACTGGATCTCTGGTGGTTACAGCAGCCAACAAAAGAACTTGTCAGGGCCTCCAGAAATTGACCCCAAAAGTCAAGAAGCCAAGCCTATTGAAGTATTGGGCCGAAGTCCTATTCTACTTCGAGCCTCCAGATGAGGATCTGGAATGATCAGGAAGTATTCGCAAACTATGACCATATGAACTGTTGTGTTCTAAAGTGTGACAGGCTTCCTCAGGACTTGACACTGTCCTCAGCCAGAATGGTCTGAAAGACTTATGGTGACCAGAACTGTTCTGCAGGCTCCCTTGGATATGACACATTCAGCTTCCAGAGCAAAGTCAACCCTTTTTCCAGTTCAGACCACCTGATCTCTAGGGGCACAGATCGTGGTTCTTAAGGAGGAAACATTCTGGTCACATCTCCCTGCACTGGCACTGGCCAGAGAGCACATTTGACTTGGTGCCTGAGGACACGATACCAGTTACTTTGTGTTCTCTGCCCTCTCTTCCATTCGACAACAGTCTGGCTCACTTCCAACAGACCTGGTCCAACATCACCTGAGACCATTTGTTTTGGAGGTGGTCCAGAGAGGCTATGCTATCCAATTCCTCTCCCACGAGATCCTGCTTCAACAAGAAGTTCAGTCTCTTCTGCCTCCGGGTGCTATAGAAGTGACCCCTCAGCACAGGGGCAAGGGATTCTATTCAAGGTATTTCTTACATCCAACAAGTCAGGGTTGGGTTCTAGACTTCAGAGCTCTCAAGACCTATATCAAGAAGCTCGCACTCAAGCTGGTCTCCCTCGCATCCATCATTCCTTCCCTGGACCAGAAAAACTGGTATGCTGCCCTCAACCTCAAGGATGTGTACTTCCATACTGCAATTCATCTGGCTCACAAGAACTTGCTAAGGTTTGTGTTAAACCACAAACATTATCGATACCAAGTCTTGCCCTTCAGGCTTTCTACAGTGCCCTGCGTTTTCACCAATTGCCTCGTGGTGGTAGCAATTCATCTGAGGAGGACTGCCATCCAAGTCTTTCCATCCTTGATCAGGGGCTGGCTGGCCTGGGTCCACTCACAATCTCCGGTAAACAAACACGAAAAAATCTACGATTAAATTCCATCCAACCTTCGGAGCCAGGCTCAGTGTGGACACAGTGACTGTCTACCTGCTGTCCAACAGGTTTTGGCCTATGCAAGACTTTGGCTCCCACCTCCTGTCTCCACCCACTCATATGGATAAGGATCTGCCTCCAGCTGCTGAGTCTCATGGCAGCATCTACATTTGTTGTTCTATACGCAAGGCTCTTGTTCCAGTCATTTCAAACATGGCTTTACCGAGCTTGCATTCCAAAAAGACGCCACCTAGACAAACTGATGCTTCTCTCCCTGACAAACCTCCAGTTTCTGGATTGGTGAAAGGACCAGTGTAATGTATGAGGGGCGTTCCATTCAGCTCGCTCCCACCCACCCAGACACCCGCCCTCAGATTATCACTACCAATGCTTATTGCTTGGATGGGCCACACACATGGGCAAACCTTATGGTTTGAGGTCTGTGGTCTACTACAGAAAGGGCTTTGTTTATCAGTGGTTTAGAATTCAGGGCTGTGTACAGAGCATGTATAGCCCTTCCTTCCAGACATTCATGACTGCTCAAGTTTGGAAACATGGCAGCTGTCTTTTATCTGAACAAACAAGGAGGGGCCAGATCCCTGACCTTATACAAAGAGGTCACTCAGCTCTGGGATTTTGCCATTCAGCACATTACCTTGTCAGCAATCTATTTCTGGGGGCTGATAACATGAGGACAGATATCACGGAAGACTCTGTTCAGGCTGACTAACAGTGGTCACTCCAGAAGGATGTTCTTCAGGACATCTTTTGCCTTTGGGGGACTCCCCACACAGATCTCTTTGTGACTGCAGAGAACAAGTGTCCTCATTTTTGTTCATGAGGAGGCCACGTCCAGGCAGAGGCCTTCCTCCTCCCCTGACTATTGTATGCATTCCTTTCCATCCTTCTGCTGCTTCTAAAGACTTCATGGAAGATCAAACAAGAGAAATCCAGGGTTACCCTAATAGCCCTACTGAGGCCCAGGCAAACATGGTTCAGGGACCTCCACAACCTCACCGTTATCCCCAGTTCCCCTATCCTAGATCGCCAACCTTCTAGTCTGCAATGGGGTCGCTGTCTTGCATCAGAACCAGTATTCCCTCCACCTGATGATGTGGATGCTTGCTGGTTGATACCAGTGGAGTTGGCCTGCTTGCAGGAAGTCCTGAGCATCCCTATTAATAGCAGGAAGATTGCACTAGATCCCACTACCTCTCTAAATGGACTGGTTTACCAGTTGGGCCTTATGACATCAGACTTTTCCTATGCACTCTGGAATATGAGAGATTCTGACTACCCTGTACATCTGAAGAACTCTGGTCCCTCACTGTGCTCACTCCAGGTTCACCTTGCAGCCGTTTCTGCAGTCCACCTCCCTGTTGACCAGTTTTCTCCCACCTTATGATAAAAAAAGTTTAAGGGTATTTTGAAGATATTCCTATGGGTCAGAAATCAACCCCAACTTTGGATCTCCAATTTGGCCTTTTCAAAGTTTATGGACACCCACTCAACTAATGGCTGTATGCACTTTATGCACTACCTTTCAATGATAATGGCCTTCCTCTTGACAATTACATCTGCTAGGAGAGTTGGAAAACTGCAGACATTGATGGGAGGGGCACCTTGTACCATCAGTCATAAGGACAAAGTCTTTGAGACTGCATCCCAGATTTCTTCCCGAGGTAGTGTCTGAATTCCACATTAATGAAACCATCCACTTACCTGTATTCTTCCCCAAGTCTCACATGGGCAAATGGGAGCAGAGGCTGTGTGCTCTAAACGTATGCAGAGGGATTTTATTCTGCCTGGACAGAACAAAATTCTTCCAAAAATCGCCTGGGTTTTTTCTTGTCTGTGCAGAGGTTCAAAGGACAAACCATCTCTACTCAGAGAATTTCTAAGTGGATCGTTCAATACGTTGGGCTACTATAGTTGGTAGTATGATCTAACAGGTGCATGGCCAGCTCACCAGAGCTCGGTCCATCTCTGTGACTTGTTTAGCACACCTTCCTATTTGGAACATTTTACAGAGCAGCAACTTGGTCATCCATCCATTCACAAAACATTATGCACTAGTACAAGCAGGCAGGGGGGTGATACAAGCCTTAGAAGATCTGTCTTGAAATCCATTTTTACAGAGACTCCTTGTAACAGCCCTTGTAGGGGCTACTGCTATGGAGCCCACCTGACATACAATATATATGTGGGCTATCACTTGAAGAAAGCGATGACTTACCAGTATGGTAATGGATGTTCTTTGAGATGTGTAGTTCATATCATATTTCACATCCCACCTGCCATCCCTGCTACTTCAGAGTCCTGATGTCAGATAGTGGCGAAGGAACTGGGCTCAGTGGGGTGACTCCCCTCTTATGCCCTTGTAAGACGCACAAGGATAGTGAGGGTGCATGTGGTGCCCCGTGAATGCTGCTGACTAGAAAGTCTCTGACGCATGCGCACTGGATGTGCATTCACCTAACGTGGAATATGTATCTGGACTACACATCTCGAAGAATATTGGTTTCTGTACAGATCAGTAACAACGTAATCTTTTTTGTTTGTATAAGTCAATCCTTTTCTCCAGGTTGTTTAAGGTATACTAATGCTCACTGTGTCTTGTAAAGCTAATGTGTTCTGTCTGGAGATTCTCCATTTAATTATTTAGAAGTGTCCTCAGTTCAGACTGATAGGTCACTGAAACCTGCCAACAACTTCTTAATCAGCTGTAATGCAATGAATAAAACATATACCTGAGGGTCCCCCATAAGTCATATAAAGCATTGCCTTGTCTTCATTTACTATTTTATGTGTGTGGCACTTCTGTCATATGAAGAATTCTGTTTGATGCTACTTTTCATCAAGGTGTTAAGTGACAGGATATATACGATTAGAACCTGCACAGAATAAAATGCCACTCTCTTACACTAACCTCACCTACCTGTCCTGTTCAGTAGTTTCAGGCATTAGGCCCATAGCCTCTCTCACGGGAAATTACTCAAAGATTAAAAGGCTCAATGTTTTGCTGTTGCAAACCTTTTTGGAAAGAATCCATATTTTTTGGCAACTGAGATCGAGATGGTTTCACATGATTGATTAGGGTTAATCAACCTTGCATTATTCTATTGTAAGTGTCAGATATTCTGACAGTGGATGGTTTGGGTTATGAGATTATTGTATTTGCATCTCCTTCTCTCTGAATGCCATAGCCTTGCTGTTTTACTACTTCATTTAAAAAAACATACTTTACCGGAGGATATTCTTGGTATAACAAATAATCCTTGATAAATCATCCAGTAAGTTATAGCTGGAAGACTTGTCCTATTTGTCACCAGTTCATTCACTCTGCTGGGGTGGGATGTGGAAGGGGGTGGATGGAGAAAAGAAAACTCCTTCTTTCAAAGCTTCTGATGGCCACAAGAAAGGATCTTTCCCTTCTCGAGATAGAATTCTGCCCTGGCACTCTCCCTCTGTTAAAATTTAAATTGCAAAATAGAAATAGGCAGTTGACTGTTAACTGTTAATAAAAATGCATGTAATTCCTATCAGTTGCTACTAATATAGACTTCTGTTTTGTGCACACTAAACATATCTTGAAAAATTCTATTGATAATGTTGGCTTTAAAAAGCATTTACTTTAGATACTCATTTAAAAAAACAAAACTATTGCAAGTACTTTTTAAAAGTGCCATAGTAAAGTTGTTTGTTTTTTCTATTAGCAAGCAGATCTGATCTCACTAGGAAAAGTTGTGTTGGCGTTGGCTTGCAATTCTTTGTCAGGAATTCAGAGAGAAAATTTGCAGAAAGCTATGGAACTGGTGACAATCAACTATTCCTCTGATCTGAAGAATCTGATTTTGTAAGTTCAGTATCATAGCATGGATTGAAGCATGTTTTTGTTGCCGCTTTTTAAGTTGAAGGAAATTTGTTAATAGCAAAACATAAATGCAAGATAATATATAGCTGAAGGTACCAAATGAATAGCTCATATTTTCAGACACAAATAAGAGTTAAATTCTGTAGAGTGTCTTAAAATAATTTCAAATTAAAAATACAGCATTAAAAAGTGGTACTGAATTGTCTTCATAGTAGGTAAAAGGGGCCAACAAATACATTATTACCCTTGCTATAAAGTTGTCTCCGAATATATGTTCTACGGTATATGTAGTAAATATGAACTCCCATATTTCCTCAGTAAGTGGTGTTTAAGGTGTTCTGACCAAAATATCATAAAATCTTGTTTCAAGAGTCAGAGAAATAGCATATAAATAATTGGATTTGCATTAAGATCTTAACGTTTGTGTTCTACCTCTTTATACAAAGTATAGGCACACTTATTAGTTCCTGAAACTGTCCGTTTTTTTTATTAGTAGGGTTGCTGCCTTTCTGACCAGAGAGATAGGGTTTGGTTTTTTGTGTTCATAAATGTAGTCACTATTTTCCTCACCCACCCTTACAGTCAGAGAGAGAAAAAATGGGAGTATTTGTCCCCTGCTCCTCATTTGAAAAAAACATCACTTGAAAATTTACAGTCTGCATATATCTCCTACTTTTAATCCTGCCCTTTCTGGCATTGATCTACTTCTGCACTGCCATGTGAGTACTCTTTAGCTTACTGAGTGCTTTCTCTCAATGATTGACTGGAAACACAGCATATAGGTAAGTTACAACAAGCATTTTCTCTGCTGCTTCACTACTGCTGCTTGACATTTATATAAGAAAAACACAGTGGCAGCTTCAGAGCCAGATGCATGTTTAGTGCTCAAAATAGCATCTGAAGCAGAAAATAGGATCTGGTTAAAACAATATGGTGGCATCTCTGTTTAAATGTGATGTGTTCAATTAATCTATTTGTTTTTTTGGTAGGTATTTGCTGACTGACCAAAATAGGCTTCGCAGTGTAAATGATATCATGCCTATGATTGGTGCACGATTCTATACTCAACTGGATGCTGCTCAGATGAGAAACGATGTTATAGAGGAAGACCTTGCAAAGGTAAATCATTCCGTGGTAAAAGGTTGAACATAAGTATCCTACGGGGGGTAGATCTACAATCTATAAAGTTGAATCCTGTTCTTGTTGAGCTCTTGTTCAGTTTTGTCATTGACTTTTTGAGAACTAGAATTTAGTGCTAAATAAGAAATTCTAATGTTGAAATAAATACAGTACCTCAATAACTCATGCCTTTTGGGACAACGAAAGCATCTGACTGACCTGGGTGCTGGCTGTGTAGTCTTAACAAGTCAGAGCTTGAGGTCTGCCTAATTGATTGTAAACCTAAAAGCCTGGTGGCCAGTTCTCTGAGAGGTGATTAGTGCATGATAATGTGGGCTTTAGCTGAAGCACCCAGACTTCTGCTGAACCAACAGACTTAGGAGAAGCTAAGAGGCATTCTCTGTGCATTTCAATCCTTACCTTATAGAATGAAGATTCCCTTTCTGATTGAGTAGATATGATCTGCAGCACTTCAAAACATTTTCAATAGTTTGTATTAGAAATTGGCACAACTGCAAATACTACCCTTTGTTTGATTCCTCAGATTCAGATTCCATTACTCTTCTCCTTACCCCATATTAATTCCTTTTCAAACAAATGAAAAATAGTAGAGCTACTGGCTGTCACCCTCGCATCAACAAAATCAGTAGCTCATACTGTTCTACTTAGCAATACATGTCTTGATGGAATTTGATTGACTATCCGCTATACAGCTTCCAGGAGAAGTGTACATTCCTATTACTATATAATACTGCGATAGAGAGGGTTTAACTCTTCCTACTTTGATTACAAATCCCCAGCAAGATTCGGACCAAGATGCATGGTAGGAGGCTTTTGCATCTTCCCTGTCGTGTGACAAAACATGGACTAACTCAAATCTTCAGTCAAAGTGGGATATTAAGGTTTTAAGGCAGGGGTCTCAAACTCAAATGACCAGGAGGGCCACATGAGGAGTAGCTCATTGGCCCGAGGGCCGCATCACTGACACCCCCTCCCCCCGCTGCCCCAGGCCCTGCCCCCACTCCACCCCTTCCCCGAAGTCCCCACCCCAACTCCGCCCCCTCCCTGCCCCCAGAGGGTGCAGGAGGAGTGTGGCAGGGGCTCAGGGCAGGGAGTGCAGGAGGTGTGCAGGGTGCAACAGAGGGCTCAGGGCAGGGAGTTGGGGTGAGGGGTGCAGGGTGCAGCAGGGGGTTGGGGTGTGGGGTGCAGGCAGGGGACTCAGGGCAGGGGGTTGGGGTGCAGAAGGGGTGTGGGATGCAGCAGGGGATTGGGGTGCAGGCAGGGGGATCAGGGCAGGAAGTTGGGGGGTGGGATGCAGGAGGGCTTCGGGCTCCGGCCCGGAGCTGCTTACCTAAAGCGGCTCTGGGGTGGCAGTGGCACACACCGGGGCCAGGGCAGGCTGCCGGCCCTGGCCCTGCGCCCACACCCGCTCCGCGAAGCAGCTGGAACCATGTCCCTGCGTCCCCTGGGGGAGGAGGGATGCAGGGCTCCGTGCGCTGCTTGCTGCTCCTCCAGGTACCTCCCCCGAAGCTCCCATTGGCTGCGGTTCCCCGTTCCCGGCCAATGGGAGCTGTGGGGGGGCGGTGCCTGGAAACCAGGGCAACACACGGAGCCCTCTGCTCTCCCCCGGCCGCAGGGGCGTGATGCCAGCCGCTTCAGGGAGCGGCGTGGGGCTCGAGGGGGGCAATCCCGCGGGTGTAGTTTGCCCACCCCTGGCCTGGAGGTAGGCCGGGGGGGGGCGCGCGGGCCGCAGGAAATAGCCTCATGGGCCGCATGTTTCAGAACCCTGTTTTAAGGGCTTAAATCACAACTTTATGTCCTGTTTCCCTTAATCCCACTGCCCATACTGAGATTTTTTTAAAGGAGACAGTATGGCCTAGTGGAAAGAGCATTGAACCAGGATTCAGGAGATCTGGGTTCTATTTCAGATCTATGAAATATGGGTACCTGCATGGCCCCTCAATATGCCAACATTTTTATGGCTGACTTAGAACAATGCTTCCTCCGCTCTCGTCCCCTAATGCCCCTCCTCTACTTGCACTACATTGATGACATCTTCATCATCTGGACCCCTGGGAAGGAGGGCCTTGAGGAATTCCACCAAGATTTAAATGATTTCCACCCTATCATCAACCTCAGCCTGTACCAGTCCACACAAGAGGTCCACTTCCTAGACACTACAGTGCTAATAAGCGATGGTCACATAAAAACCACCCTATACCAGAAACCTACTGACCGATGTACTTACCTACATGCCTTCAGCTTTCATCCAGACCACATCAGACGATCCATTGTCTACAGCCAAGCTCTAAGATACAACCGCATTTGCGCCAATCCCTCAGACAGAGACAAACACCTACAGAATCTCTATCAAGCGTTCTTAAAACTGCAATACTCACCTGGTGAAGTGAAGAAACAGATTGACAGAGCCAGAAGGGTACCGAGAAGTCACCTATTACAAGACAAGCCCAACAAAGAAAATAACAGAACGCCACTTGCCGTCACCTACAGCCCCCAACTAAAACCTCTCCAGCGCATCGTCAAGGATCTACAACCTATCCTAAAGGACGATCCCTCACTCTCACAGACCTTGGGAGACAGGCCAGTCCTTGCTTACAGACATCCTCCCAACCTGAAGCAAATACTCACCAGCAACTACATACCACACAACAAAACCACCAACCCAGGAACCAAACCCTACTATAAACCCCGGTGCCAACTCTGTCCACATATCTATTCAAGAGACACCATCATAGGACCTAACCACATCAGCCATACCATCCGCGGCTCGTTCACCTGCACATCTACCAATGTGATATATGCCATCATGTGCCAGCAATGCCCCTCTGCCATGTACATTGGCCAAACCGGACAGTCTCTACGCAAAAGAATAAATGGACACAAATCTGACATCAGGAATCATAACCTTCAAAAACCAGTTGGAGAACACTTCAGTCTCTCTGGTCACTCAATAACAGACCTCAAAGTGGCAATTCTTCAACAAAAAAACTTCAAAAGCAGACTCCAACAAGAAACTGCAGAACTGGAATTAATTTGCAAACTGGACACCATCAAATTAGGCCTAAATAAAGACTGGGAGTTGTTGGGTCATTACAAAACCTAAACTTAATTTCTCCAATACTAATTTCTCCCTACTGTTACTCACACCTTCTTGTCAACTGTCTGTAATGGGCCTCTCTCTTACCACTTCAAAAGTTATTTTTCCTCCCTTGGTATCCTGCTGTTAATTGATTTATCTCATTAGACTGACCTAACACTTGGTAAAGCACCCCCATCCTTTCATGTATTTATACCTGCTCCTGTATTTTTTACTTCATACATCTGATGAAGTGGGTTCTAGCCCACGAAAGCATATGCCCAAATAAATTCGTTAGTCTCTAAGGTGCCACAAGGACTCCTAGTGTGGGTTTTTTTTAATTATTATTATTCCTGGCTCTGTCACTGGCGTGCTGGGTGCTTCGGTTTCCTCATCTGTAAAATGGGAATAATAAAACTGACCACCTATGTAAAGCATTTTGAAATCTACAGATAAAAGGTGCTATGTAATCATTAGGCATTTTTTTTTTTTAAATTTCTATATTTTGCATGCAAAACCTTGTAGCTGGACAAAGTAGGAGGCTGCACTGCCACTCCATAATCAGAGATTAATACAGTTACAGGATCAATACAAACTGTTCCACAGTATTCTAGGAGACTGAGAAGTATAAATCTTTTCGTCCCTTTTCTTCTTGTCTTTCAAATCAAGCTGTCTCACTAATGTATTACAGTATGACTTCATTTCCAAATTTAGGACCCAGTTCTGCCAACCTTACTCATGTTGAGTAGTAAATTACTTCAGGAGTAATCCTACTGAAATCAGTGGCACTGTGTGTGGAGTAAGCTGCTACGCCACATGAGTGTGGATGGCAGTAACTGGGTCTTGAGATGCTTAATAATGGCATATTATTAGAATCTTTTATCCTTCTGGAAGCCTGATTTGAAAAGCTTCTACTTAAATAAAATATGCATGTATCCACAATGTATTGTAAACTAGGATACAGTCAGAACAATTTTTTTCTCTCACTCTCTGTGGGGATGGAAAGCAGTGTGTGAAATGGATTATCAGCTATATATGTAATAAAAAAAAAAAAACACAAATTGCAGTGGTTCTATACTTTGTGTTGATTTTGTTGCTGTCTTTGAGATGGTGTTAGGATTTCAGCTACTTTAGTTATACACATTTGTTTATAGCTTTCCTCTTGAACAGATGTGCTTTGTGTCTAAACTGGTCTTGGATCTGATACTTATTAGGAATTTGGATTGCAATCTGATTTACCAGTCTTACCAAACACCTTTTACTCATGGTAAATGGTACTAATGGCCAGCAAAAAAAAAAAAAAAAAAAAAAAAAGTGTGAGAAGAAAACAAAACAATCTAAATTGAATGCCCAGATAACCAAGATAAAAGAGGAGGGGCATGAAGCAACTAGGAAATTTAGCATTTTCTTCTTCTGTGGTCCTGATGTCCAGACCTTGCTCCTGCTCCATCTTAAAACCCAGTATACTTTTTTTAAAGTAGCCACCCTATGGTATCCTATACCAATGGGGTAGCTGGAGTCTGCATCGGTGCATGGAGGCAATGAAGCTGATAGTCTAGCCCTTGCTGGGGTAGAAAGAAACATGGCCTTGGTGCTGGCCAGACTGGAGATTTGCAGGAAGAAAATGAAGTACAAAGATCAATAACACTATGACTTTGGGTATGCAGTGCCATGTGTCGATGAATCTATTTCTAGAAAATGTAAACCATCTTCATTGAAATTAATCTGATGGGTCTTTGCAATTTTGTTGTACAAGATCAGTTTTGCTGCATTGAGGCTTTTGCGTGCACCAGTGTCTTAAGTTTTGTGTTTCTTCCCAACTTTAAACTAATCATACATTTCTTGTGTTATAGGAGGTGCAGAATGGAAGGTTGTTTAGGCTTCTAGCAAAACTGGGAACAATCAATGAGAGACCAGAGTAAGGGATGCGATACTTTTTTTTCATAGTACAGTCTCTAAAATCCAATTTATACTTCAAGATTTCTACCCTCAGATATGATCTGAATAATCCTATCTCCAATTATGCCTCTGAAGAAGTGAGAAGTAAAGACACCTTGAGGCAATGAGTTAAAATTCTGATTAAAATAGCCTAACTTAAACAAAAGAAAAATATTCCTATCTTAACATATATATTTGTATTTCTTTACCATATATTTAGCATATATATTGTATTTGGGGTTTATTATGCTTGAGAGCACATATACAAGGCTATGGCTTACCTCAACACGTAATTATAGTAAAGTGTTTCAAAAGAGTTTGAATGGGCATAGTTTTGTGCTGATTATCTGTCAGATGCTAATATGAAACAACATACTTTTCACTGGCCTATTTTCAAAATCAGTTAATAGACTGTTAGGTAACTGCAGATTTGAGTTACAGTATAACTGGTTTTTAGCATTCGGCTGGTAACTTTGATGGTTTTCCTTCCAATCCCTTTTCTGCAGGCTTTTAGTAAACATTTAACTTCAGGTACTTTAGCTGAGCAACTCTGGATAAAGCTTCTTATATCTTTGTGATAGGAAGAAAATACTACTACTTGGTAGTAGGTTTGTTATGTAGCAGAGCTTAGATAGACAGTGTTTATTCTGAAGAGTTAATGAGCATATGCATCTCTTTAACTCTTGATTGCTAATGTCAAGCTTTGTTTTGCACCAGATTTCAGAAAGACCCAACTTGGTCAGAAACTGGAGACCGATATCTACTGAAGCTCTTTCGGGATCATCTTTTCCATCAGGTGACAGAAGCGGGCACTCCTTGGATTGACCTCAGTCACATTATCTCATGTCTTAACAAGGTAACCTGTATCTGTGTTCTTTCTTGAATGAAAGCTTCATCAAATCATTCTTTAATGTGATGTTCCACTGTTGAAAGAAAATGGATGCGTCACTCATATGCTAATTCTGTTGATTTAGCTGATATTTTTCTAATCGGGATGAGAACAGATTATCCAGTAAATTAGCATGTAACCTTCATGGATATTTTAAATAGAAGTACTAAATTGGGAATTAATTAAAGAGTGATGTACAGTGGCCCCTTTTTGTCATGCTAAAGGATAGCCTAAAGGGACCCTAAAAGTCCTGTAATCAACTAGGTATGATTCTCCTGGCACAAGCACAGTGGAAGACCACCATAAGGCTGTCTCCTGAAGATGCCCTCACACAACCTGCTGTTGGGGGTTTGCCAGGGAAGGGCAGGGCAGGGCTGGGGGTGAAAGGGTTGTATCCGGAGGGGTGCCACAGCATGCAGTGCTGCACGGATTCCAAGACACCATGGCTTGTCTAAGTTATGCTAGAGTCCTTTCCAGCCCCCAGATAGCTCAGCAGTGGTAGGGTGCATAACTGGTTTAAAGAGGCTGCTTGCAGTATTCTAAGATTTTAGTTGCATCATTGGCAAAACTTTAGTTGAGCACTCCCATGAATGGCAGCTGAGGAAAATCTTTCTTATGCCATAAATGAAATAAAGAACATAAACTTACTTTTTCCCTGCAGCTTGTACTTCAACTTCGCAGATGTTTTACCAAACTTTAGCAATCCAAAACCACCTTTCTTTTCCAGAAAAGTTTGACCATACTCAGATCCTTAGATACTAGCAACTACTAGTTAACTTCAGCCAAAACTTCCACTAAATTATTGGTGGCTCTTCACCTATCTGGCCACTGGGTTACTCCCTTAATCTCCTTTTACTTTTAATTTCGTTTTATCAGTCCCTTTAAATCCTGATTTAAAGGGATTGATGAGGCTAAGTAAAGGAGATTAGGGGAATGTGTGCTAATGGCCAAGTGAAAATTAAAGGAATGTATGCTGATGCTCAAACAGGAGGTGAGGAGCTACAGCAATTTTGGGGGATGTAATTCTGTAAGTCAGGGGAAAGAATATATTGCAGAATATTGTGTGCTAGAAACTTCTGTGGCTTATCCTCAAAACAAATGGTTAGTTCTAGGGTTGTGGACCCATAATGCAAAGAATCACTATCTAGGGCTGAAGGACCTCAATACCTTGGCAGCAAAGGCACTCTAAAAAGCACTCTTAAACTTCAGAAAGCAGCATGTTGGAAAACGGATCCTAGTAAAATGGGGTATCTGTGCTTCATACTTCGCTCTTGAAATGTCCTTGTTAGATTCAAACTTATTCAAGTATCGTAAGGGGAAGGAACTTTTATATCCGAGTGCGACATTTTTGTGCACCTATTTACCTAAGAACCAGTGGAAGAAAGCCACATGTAGTGAGGTACATGGTCAATAGCATGGCTTTGTTTGTTGTTTATCAGCAGTGTTTCAAATCCAGTAGGATGACTCAAATTACACGTGTACAGCACTTATCTGAACAACAAATAGAAGATCATACATAGCATTTATAGTTAGTATTTTGTCCTCAAACTGTTTTTGGCAAATCAATCCTAATAACCCCCTCGGAGAAGTGTTGCGGGGTGGTGGTGGCAGTATTATACCCATTTTACAGGAATAGAAAACAAATCAGGCTCTCTGCATTAGTTTGCCTGAAGCCTCACACAACACTGAGGCTAGAATTTGGGAGGTTGTAGCTTTTATTGCTATGAGTTCAGACCAGTATGCTGCACCTTTCTTTCTTTCTACAAGATGTTTTCTTAGTCTTGCTCCTGCGAACACCCAATTAAACAAGAACTCGGTGGCTAACCTAGTTCTCCTTTTCCTCTATTCAATCAGGCATAACAGTACATTTATCTGTTTCCATAGCATTCCTCACCATATTATCTAAAAATCTGCTAGTATTCCCATCATCCCCTGGGGTATGTTTCCAAAGTGTTGCGCTATATACCATAATACAGACAGTGAAGCCTGTCTTTGGACAAGAGAGTTTGAGGTACAAAACAAATGTTGAAGTCTCTTAAACTATTTTCAAAAGAAAGCAGCACCCATTGTACTTAGCAAAGAGTCTGCGAGTTACAAATCAATGAACACCTCTTGCAGTGTATATATTTTACAAAAAGTACACAATTTAAAGTTCCCCTGGAGATTTCTACACCACTTACTTTGATATTTCTACCAGCATTAGTGACACAAGTTGTGTGGAGGCCAGTTGAAGATTAGTTAATTTCCATGCTGCTTCAATGGTAGTTTAATCAGTCAGAAGAAAAACTTGAGATGTTTGTTGGGGAAAAAAAGTTTTTCTTCTGACAGCCTGTATTAACTGTCTGTCAGCGATCAGGATTAGATAATGTCTGCATTTTAGACTGAGAAAAAGGAGGATACCTTACAAAAAACTTGAGCCAGTTAATTTTGTTCCCACCTTCACTGGCCACTAGCCAGTTTGAATTTGGAAGTTAGTTTCAGCTGTTGCAGAGCACAGGAATAGGCAGCCAAAATTGCTCAGATGCTAATACTTCCCTGTAATTTTGTTTAAAATGCCAAAGATCATCCCTCCTTACTGGTCCATTTGATGAACCTGTCAGGTAACTTGCACAGAAATTCAGTGATGTGGCTCAGGCCTATATAGAGATTATCCCTCCCTAGCTTGCTTGGTTCTTTTAAGGGGGGCTGGTATTTCAGAAGGATTGGACCAAGTTCTCATCTTCTTCTGCAATGTTATTTTAACTGATAGTTCTTGACCATGAATCCGATTCAGGGTCAGATTTGAGTTTAAACATTTTCAAACCTGTGATTAGTCAACAGGCTGTATATGCTGAAAGAGAAGAACCTTGCCCTTTCTGTGAATCATACTCTCACAAGCTTGCTAAAAACCTGATTGTTTTTATGTTTAAGAAAATGATTGTATTGCCATTGCTTCACATTTTCTTTTGCATTCTTGTTACAGTTAGATGCTGGTGTGCCAGAAAAAATAAGCCTCATTTCCAGAGACGAGAAGAGTGTACTTGTGGTAACTTACAGCGATTTAAAACGCTGCTTTGAAAATACTTTTCAAGAACTAATTGCAGCCGCAAATGGTCAGTTGTAGTCTTTGCTGAAAGCATGCAGGACATTGCTGAGGAACTTAACCAATAGCAAATTGCACTACAGCTGAACTGTTGTTGTCATCTCATTTCATATTTGGGAAACAAACAGGAGATGAGCAAAGCTGCTTGCACTTCAGTCAGGTACACTGTTACTTGAAGGGAAGAATGTTTCATTTATCCTAGAGCTATGGCTGCCATAGGAGGCTTTATCTGTGAAGAATTTATTTTAGATTAAGGAACACATCAGGTGCATGATGTTCCTGCTTTTATTTTTTCCACTTGTATATGCACTAATTTTAATTTTTTTAAGACTTTTCTGATCTCTGATGTTTTGCCACATTGTATACTTATTAAGGGAAACTCTTTGCAAGGACATTTCTGGGATACATTTTTGTCACTGAGGATATTGCTCAATTTATTCATTTTGATATTATTTGCACCCAGAATAGCATAAAGGACCAGGGAAATAATTTCATAGAAATTGTGTTCTATAAATGAGAGTTTAGTTTGTAATCTCTGTAAAAGTGTGTTGTATGCGAGCTCTGTATGCCACCCACTGTTAGTTAACAAACCAACCAGAAGATGCATATTTAAAAAAAAAAAATCAAGTATCAGTGAATTGACATGTATAAAATCCCCTCTCATTTAAGCCTTGTCTAAGCAAAGTGACAGAATAGCAACCTTTGAAACACCTATAATTTAAGGGGCATATCAAATTTGCTCTAAACACAACCAGCGCCTTTAAAAACTGTTTGTATGTTTTCCTGCTAGTCAGCTGCATTTACATTTATGCAATTTTTTTAACAGAATTTTTTTAAAGAAATTGTGTTAAATGCCTGAAGTTTCAGGAGTGTATTACTTTAGGTTATTTACAGTATAATTTTTGTATAAAGTTCTGTTCTTTGAACCACAGCTTTATTATGGTACTCTACACTGGATACAGAAACAAAGACACTGTTAAGAAGATTAACTAAACACAGCAGTTGTCTGGCATCAAGAGCTTTTGAAGTTTTACAACCTGAATCTGGAGGGATAATGATCTGCTGTGCCTTTGCAGTCACTGCTTAGCCCAAAGTAATATTACTTTTGATAATACTCAACACATGAATATTCCTGAAGTAATTCAGTCTGGAATTTTCCTCCTCAATTAACTTTCTAATATTTGGACATGCAGTTGTCTCCAAACTTGGGTATTCCTGGGATTTATAGTAAAAGATAAACACCTACACTTTGATATTGAAGACTGCCAAATATGTAGGAATTTCCTTTCTTAAAGCAGTAGTGAAGACTGTATCTATCCTTTCCCAGCACTGAATATTTTAATAGCACTGGGTGCTCACCATGAAGAAAATGTGGAAACTCAAAAGGTCAGGACAGACTCTAAGCACTTGCAACTGATGTTACTGACATCAATTTTAATAATTCTCAATATTTGTAGTTTTCAGAGAAGTTTTTAATATTTCTCTGTCCACTTTTATAAGCTTTAAAATGATTCTCCGCCTTGAGACTTGCATCAAGAAAAGCAACTCTCTTCACATCGAAAGCTTTGAAGACTAGGGACGTGCTTTACATATTTTAGAAAATGTGGTTGAGTCCGCATTTGGTAGCATCAGTTGTTGAGTTAAAAATCAATTGTTGCATTTGATCTGAATGAATTTTAAAAGTAACATAATGTTTAATATTCAAAGGATGACAATTGCCACAATATTGTTCTTTTTAATGTAAAAAGAACAGGAACTTTGAGAAGTGAACATGCAAAACAGTCTTTTATCATTAGCTCATGTATTTGAGGAAGAGCAGCTGTCTTTTATATGTTTTTTGACAAATCATATTGTAATTCTTTTGTACAAAAAAGAAGTACTTGTATACTAGAAGAAATATGAAATGCTTAATTTATAAGCGGGCTGAGGTTTTTTCCAGTATTGTTTTCTTTGAAAATGAAAGGGGATCATCTGTTCAGTTGTGGGGTTTGGGAACCTTTGGAACATTTAATTTGTGGACCAATATTTTGTGAAAGTTAAGGCAGGGGTAAAATAGGGCTTGAATTCTCATCCTTCCTAGACCAGCAAACCATCCTCTGTGAGACAAGTCTAGAATGCAAACTTACATGTATTTGCATAATGTCAGTTTGCTTCAGCCCCTAGTAACCTCAGGACTTGGTTTAAAAAATAAAAAAATAAAAATAAAAAGTAGACAGCGAATAAGTTTTCATAAGTAACTAATGTCAGCCAGAAAACATTTGGTGTCAGGTAATACATAAAAGAAATAATTGTTGAGCTTTGTTTTCTATTTATTTCATTTGGTCCATATTTGGGAATGATTTGAACAGTCTGAAGTTCTGCATGGGTGTTTTTTGGGGAGAGCCCTTCTAGCACATTTTAATTCCATTAAGAAGGTTGTCCTAAAGTTATAATCTCTTCCATTCCGAAGAAGAGCTGTATGTGTATAGTTAAAAAAACAAAAACCACCCAGGACATACCCTGCCATGTGGGAAATTGTGATCTTCCTATCTTTACAGCTAAAAGCACAGAAAGGACAACCTTTGAAATCATGTGATCTTGGTCATTTTAATTTTTGTACCTGTTTTTAAATTCTGTCTATGTATTTACTACACTGTAAATGTTTTGAGGGTACCTATGTATTTTTTTTTTTTTTTTTTTTTGGCCCTTGTTTCAGTAATTCAAATGTCAACAGCTTTCCCTAAAAAGCACCAGTATGTTAAGTTCTGTCATGATCCCAATATGTTACCCATCTTTAATCCTGTTTTCATTCTTCATATGTACAGCAGTATTTTTAATAAAGAATACCAGAAATAACGTAGCCTTCTTTTGAGCATGCTAAGTGCTGTAGTTGGGTAGTGCTTTTCACATCTTAAGTATTGGAAGTATATTGCATTCCATCATATTCCTTTTGTATTTCAGTCTGTAAATGACTCCAGCACAGGGTTGTAACAATCATGACTTGCAAACTGCATTTAATGTTTTTTACTTACAGTAAATCACATGGCCTACAATTTCTAGATACTGTTCACTAGACATAGTAATGTGCATTTCCTTAACTTCCAAGTCAAAGTAGTAGCTCCTTTTTGCTTGTATTAAATCAGGTCCACATTACTAGATTAGCCCTAATTCTGAGAAACTGTATTAAAAATACCTTTACGTCCATGTTTATTAAGCTCTCTTGTCCAATGACAATATGTATGTTAGCTTCTCTGAAAATTACACATGGGATAACTGACCTCTTTGATGCCCAGAATTATTTGTTCTGTATTGTTAACCAGCAAAAGTGACTTACTGGTGGGGTAAAGTCCTCTGTACCCATACCCCCCATGCCACATGTTTATGTAATTGTACAGTCATGAAAATTTTGTAAAATACATGTGAAATTGTCAATATCTTTGGTTTTTTTCCTTGCATAAACTTAATCTGGACTGTTGGTCCCTTAAATTGCATTATTGCTTTAGAAAGTTTATTTTGCATATATGACTAAAATAAAACTGCAGCAAGCTTGCTTGGTGCACTCTTCTCAAAAGTTCAGAAGGTAGGAAGCAGTTTTCTATATGGTAAACTTTCTAATTTACATTTAAGAAGTGTGTTGAAGGACCACATATGCCTATAGGAGTACACCCATGTCTTGTCTGTTCCAGAATGCACATAGCAACACTGGTCAGTAACTTGCAGAATCCAGTCATGCAATAAGTTTTTTGGTAAAACTGGAGTAATACTTACATATATTTGTTATGCACCCATCCACAAATGTCACCTGGTGACAGTTTAAAGTGTGCTTTCAGTCTGAACTTGGATGGTTTGTTTTTGAAAAACTTTATTTTTTGTAACAACTAGAGCGGGGATCGGCAACCTTTGGCACATGGCCTGCCAGGGAAAGCCCCTGGCAGGCCAGGCCGGTTTGTTTACCTGCAGTGTCCGCAGGTTCGGCCGATCGCAGCTCCCACTGGCCGTGGTTCGCTGTCTCAGGCATTGGCTGCGGGAAGGGTGGCCAGCACATCCCTCAGCCCGCGCTGCTTCCTGCAGCCCCCATTGGCCGGGACAGCGAACCGCAGCCAGTGGGAGCTGCAATTGGCCGAACCTGTGGATGCGGCAAGTAAACAGCCTGACCCGGCCCACCAGAGGCTTACCCTGGCGGGCCGCGGGCCGAAGGTTGTTGATCTCTGAACTAGAGCATGAATTTTTAAGTTAATGTGAAACAAAATCTAAAATCAGCTTTTTGACTGACTATCGTAATGCAGCAGTGCACCTTCTTCAGCATTTCTCATGTCTGAACGCCAAGGAAAGGTGGCGAATATGTGGAATGTTTGTTTAGCGTACTTGGAAAATGAATGGTCATTAAGTAGCCCTCAGAATTACTCTGTCCATACTTGAGTTTGAATTAGAATTTTAAAAGGAACATAATGTGGAAATGAACAACTTTCATTTGAGAACCTGTTGTAGGTAGCCACAACTGCTTCAGTAATTTGTGCTACTGCTAGCATACATTAGTTATTATATTAGTATTCTACTTTAAATCCTTAATGCACAGTAGTAGGTACAAGACTTTTTATCCTCCAGATGTGGCCTCACCAGTGCCGAACAGAGGGGAATAATCACTTCCCTCGATCTGCTGGCAGTGCTCCTAGTAATGTAGCCCAATATGCCATTGGCCTTCTTGGCAACAAGGGCACACTGCTGACTCATATCCAGCTTCTCATTCACTAATCTCCAGGTCCTTTTCTGCAGAACTGCTGCTTAGCCAGTCGGTCGCCAGCCTCTAGTGGTGCATGGGATTCTTCCATCCTAAGTGCAGGACTCTGTACTTGTCCTTATTGAACCTCATCAGATTTCTTTTGGCCCAATCCTCCAATTTGTGTTGGTCACTCTGGACCCTATCCCTACCCTCCTGCATATCTACCTCCTTCCTCCCCCCCCCCCGCCACGTTCAGGGTCATCTGCAAACTTGCTGAGGGTGCAATCCATCCCATCCAGATCATTAATAAAGATGTTGAACACAACCGGCCCCAGGATCAACCCTTGGGGCACTCCGCTTGATACCAACTGCCAACTAGACATCGAGCTGTTGATCGCTACCCGTTGAGCCCGACAATCTAGCCAGCTTTCTATCCACCTTATAATCCATTCATCCAGCCCATACTTTTTAAACTATTTTTAACCATACTATTTACCCCTTTGGAGCCCCTAAAATTTAATAAACAACTGGATGGAAAAAGAGAACAACACTGCTAGGGTCATATGATTATATAACTAGTGCTGTGCCCTTGTTCCTCCCCACTAAAAACTAGATTGTCTCCAGTGGCCTTCCACCTAGAGGCCTAGCTAGTCTAAACGTTAGCAGTAAGAACCAGTGAATGAACTGAGAAATATTCAAGATGGAATGAATTTAGCATTTTGATTTCTATACTTTAATCTTGTTTTTTATTCAGACAGTATTATCCTCAGTGTGTGGCCTTTAAGGATGTAGTGAGCATATTTCGCTTCAAATTAAATCATATTGTGGCCAAATTAAACTGTTTTATTGGATGTGGGAGGAGGAAGTAAAATAGAAGATAGTAAATACACACCACTCCCCTGCACTATTACTACTTTCCATGTGTATAAGAACATTTTATGACTTTACTGCTGATAAATGTGAAGTTCTTGGGCTAGCCAGGTGTAACAAGAACAGTAGTACACAGCCTATTTCCTTCAGTTCAGTACTAGTCTGTTTTCATAAATTTGTTCAGAAGTACTGACATGCTGCATTAGACCACTTAGCCAATCTAGTCCAGTATTCTGTTACTAACAGTGGCTAGTACCAGCTGCTTCAAAGGAAGGCACAAGAAACCCTGCAGTAGGCTGTCAAGGGAAAACCCTGTCCCTGAGGGAAGGTTTCTTGCTAACCCCCGTTAGTTAGAAGTTTGTTTAAGCCTTGAAGCATGAGGGTTTGTATCCTTTCCAAAACTCTAATTTAAAGGGTGAAAAAGCTATTCTTGTATTCCATCTAAATGTCCAATCTGTTTCTGCATCCTGCTAAACTGTAGCCTCAATCTCCTGTTCCCTTCTCTATGGCAAACACGCATTGTCTTTTCAATCTTTTTTCATATGAAATTGTTTCATGTACTTAATTATTCTTGGAACCCAGCACTGAACCAACCACCTGTTTCTTCATGGGTTTTTTGTTTTCTTTTTTGAGTGGGTGACCAGAACTGAACACAGTATTCCAGGTGAGGTTGTTACTGATTTATATAATAGCATTTTCCATATTCTCCAGCCTATTCCTTATGCATAAGTTTCCTTTTTGCCCTCAGGCTGCATATTGATAACTGGTCTCAATTGAGCTGTCCACAATACCTAGGTCTCTTTCCTGAGCTGATAGCTAATTTAGCATAGTAAGGTGTGTGAATAGCCCAAATTATTGCCTCCAATATGCATTTGCCAACACTGAACTTAATATTCATTGTAATGCCCATTCACTAAACTTGATTAGATCCCTCTGCAGTGCTTCGCTCTTCTCCCAGCTTGAGCAAACACATGCAAG